CCCCCCCCCGTCTTGAAAGCCAGCACCTGCTACTCATTGTGCAAAATATGCTGAATACAAGATCTCATTCAATTCTTACAACTTTGCTGTAAGTATGTATGATTCCCATTTTATGGAAAAAGAAACGGTCTTATGGAGGTTACACTCCAAAATCACACAGCTGGTTAAATGGCAGAGCTACAGTTGGAACCCAGTTGTATGACTGCAGTGAGTGTGCTCTTAATTGCTAATTTACACTGTCTTCTGAGATGTAGGCAGCCAGGGCAAGGACTACCTGTCAGCTCACTAGTGCCATCAGGCGCAGTGAAATCACAGAACATATGGGCCAAGGAAGACAGAACCCTCTTGAGGAAGAAATGGCAACATCATATCAAACAGCCAATTTAGATCATCAGTTCAACAAACACTGACTCAACACCAATTTATTCTGGCCTAGGCATTACGCTAGGTGCTAGAGTACAAAGCTGAATAAAACCCTCACGTGTGGGGGAGACACCCAAAGACTGTTTCAGAATAACGTGGCCAGTGACAAGGTAGGGAGAGGCAATGCATGGCGTGCTATGGGAGGATTCTCAGACCCTTTCCCCATCTTCCCGAAGGAGATGATTCTTAAGCTGAAAATGCAGGATGGAAGGGGAACTATTAGCACAGAAATGGCAGGTTTGGGGTACAATGGGGATCACTAGCATGGAAATCTGAATGCACATGCTTTAAATGTAGACCTATGATTAAGATACACAGTAGGAGGCAGGCAGTGGTGGAAGGTAGGACTGCAGAGGTGGAGAGAGATCATGTCAGCGAGGGCCCTGAATCATCCTGCCGAAGACTTGGTCTCCATCCAAACAGCAGTGGAAAGCTGACAAAGGGTTTTAAGTAGCGGGGAGTATGGACAGATTTGCATTTTAGAAAGCTCACAGGCGGCAGTGTGCAGAACGAATGGAGGGGGTATGCTGCAGGGAACTCTTTTTATCTCTTTGTGCATAGACTTGGACTCAATCGCACAGGCACAACAGTGAATATCTGAATATGTATGCTTAACGTCCGAATATGCACGTTTAACATCAGTTGAGCATACAGACTGTTGGAGAGAATAAATTTTTAATCTTGGGTCATGTCAGTTACCTTTATATCAACTCTTCTTTCTCTACCTTGAAATACAGATTTCTTTCATACTTAATCCCAGGAAACTTGGTGAAAGCGGATGTTGGTTGAGAGGAAGGAAAAGAGGGAGAGGATAAGGGTGGCAGAGAGTTCTGGGTGGTCATTTCTCCGGAAATTAGACGTGGTGTATATGGGTGACAGCGTTTGCATTTTAGAAACTCTCATATAATTATCTCCAGAACTGCCTTCTCTTCCAGTAATTGTAAAGAGAATAACTTAAAAGTCACTTGTGTTTTCTTATTTATCTGTTATTCCAGAACCCCATCTTTCTAGAAATAGCTTCTGAAATGAGCAAGACTTGCCTCCAGTTCATGAAGGAGGCTACTACACAGAGGACAGGAGAATCCACACCTCGTTGGAGTAGAGGATTCTTGGACTGGCAAGGAGTTTGTCGCCAGGTGGTGGGCGGCAGGGACTCCAACATTTGGGAGGGATCATTTGTCAAGAGAGATTGGGAGATCATCTCTCCAATTTGAGGGAGGGGGGTTGGAAATTGGAGGTGAGGGTGTCAGGTCCCCTAATAATATACCTTAGCACGGGTATTTAATCCTTCTGCTGCGAA